GGTCCTGGAGGGACCTGGAGAGTCCTTAAGGGTCCTGGAGGGTCCTTGAGGGTCCTGGAGGGTCCTTAAGGGACCTGGAGAATCCTAAAGGGACCTGGAGAATCCTTAAGGGACCTGGAGGGTCCTGGGGGGACCTGGAGAATTCTTAAGGGACCTGAAGAATCCTGGAGGGGTCTGGAGGTTCTCAATCCTGGACTGGAGAATCCTAAAGGGACCTGGAGGAGCCTAGAAGGTCCTTGAGGAAGCAAACTCTGTCCTGGAGAGACCTGGAGGGACCTGGAGAATCCTTAAGGGACCTGGAGAGACCTGGAGGGACCTGGAGGGGCCTGGAAGGTTCTTGAGGGACCTGGAGGAGCTGAACCCAGACCTGGAGGGACCTTGAGAGACTTGGAGGGACCTGGAGGGTCCTAGATGGACCTGGGGGGACGTGGAGGGTCCTGGGGGAGCTGAAAACTGACCAGGAGAAGTTGAACCCTGACCTGGAAAGGCCTGGAAAGGCCTGGAAAGGCCTGGAGGAACCAAACCCGTTCCTGGAGGCGTGTCGCTGGAGGGAAACGGGTCGGACCTGAATGGGCGGATTCCTTTTTCAAAAACCACTTCCTCCCAATCAGGCTTCTCCTCACGTGGACTCTACCAAAGAACAGGATCAATATCTGTGTGATCAACCCCCCCCCCCATTGGTCCCGTAAGGCCACGCCCCCTCACTCTGGCCCCGCCCACTAACGGCCCCCCTGGAGCTCCTGGCCTCCATCTTCCTCATTCCTGTTTCCAAACCCGTGGTTTTATTTGTGGGGTAACCGGAAGGAAGTTTCCGGGTACTAACGGACTCTGGACCCCCAGAGACCAGATAACGGACTCTGGACCCCCAGAGACCAGCTCAATACCTCTACGACCCCCCAGAGACCAGCTAAAGGACTCTGGACCCCCCAGAGACCAGATAACGGACTCTGGACCCCCCAGAGACCAGGTAATGGACTCTGGACCCCCCAGAGACCAGATCAGAGTCTCTAGACCCCCCAAAGACCAGGTAATGGACTCTGGACCCCTCAGGGACCAGATAAGGGCCTTTGGACCTCCAGAGACTGGTAACAGCCTTTGGACCCCCCAGAGACCAGTTCAGGGTCTCTAGACCCCCCAGAGACCGGATAACGGACTCTGGACCCCCAGGGACTAGATAACAGCCTCTGGACCCCCTAGAGACCAGATAACGGACTCTGGACCCCCAGGGACCAGCTAAAAGCCTCTGGACCCCCCAGAGACCGGATAACGGACTCTGGACCCCCTAGAGACCAGCTCAGGACCTCTGGACCCCTCAGAGACCGGTTCAGGACCTCTGGACCCCCCAGGGACCGGTTTAGAGTCTCTAGACCCCTCACAGACCAGATTAGGGTCTGGCCTTGTGGTCCACAGGTCCGGATGCTGGTCTGGTGGCCGGGGACCAATGGGGAGTGGCCTGTTGACTTAGTGGGCGTGTGATTGGCTCCAGCCTTTGATCAATATTATCAGAGCCACGACGCGGAAAAAACAGACTCAGACCATGAGGGACTTTAGGTAAATATTGTTTGGAATTGGTTAAATTCAACATCTGATGTGAGGGTTTTGTCCAAAATGTGGCGGCTTTTGTGGATTTTGAGGAATTGGTTTTACCTTTGACCTCATGACCCTCATGAATACCAGCAGAAATGTCAAATATCATCATTTATTTATCACTCAAATCCTAAAGTAAATGAAGAGAAACTAAATAGAAATCCTGATTGAGGGCTCATTTCATCAGATGTGTCTTTAAGGAGTCTAAATAGAAGCTCTGTCTCTTTAAGGAGTCCCAATAGAAGCTCTGTCTCTTTAAGAAGTCCCAATAGAAGCTCTGTCTCTTTAAGAAGCCCCTAACTCAAGGGGTGAGCCAGCGTTGTGTCCACACAGAACTACCTGAAGCTCTTTTGGGGTTTTTTCTTTGCATGTTTTTGAGTTTTTCTGTCATTTTCCATACAGTTTTTCTTTAAAAAGCCACTTAACTCTGAGCCCCTAACTCAAGGGGTGAGCCAGCCTTGTGTCCAATCAGCAGAGCAGCAGCTTAAAGTGGATCAGAAGGATAAACATCAGTTTTAAAGGTCTTTTAAAAGTCTTTTAAACATTTAAATCACCTTTAATATCTTTATTTCTTCCCTCAAAGCTTTTTGTTTGGATATTTTTTTACATTTTCTCTCATTTTCGGTAAAGTTTCTCTTTGACAATCCACTTAACTTAACACCTTTTGGCCTGAACTGGTTAAAAATATTTAAAAATCAGGCTGAACTTTGCTTTGCTGACCTGCTTTTCTGTGTTTAAAACCTGAAATAAGCCGGTTTTTAGCTGCGTTTTGGGCGTCCTCCGGTTCATTTTTATAAGTTAATCTTATAAATTCCAAACATTTCTCAGTAAATTGAGCTCACAAACGGCCCGTTGAGCCTCCGTTTTTTAGCTGAGTCATGGTTCTGATCGGATCCATTAAAATGTCCGGTGGAGGTAAACTGGCCTTCGTCTCTCTGCTGAACTTCACAGAGAAAAAACTAAATATGTGTAAGAAAAAAAAGTCTGTTTAAAACTCAGCTCAGTTTCCTGTCAAAGGAAAAATAAAATGGAGAATTTGTTTATAGTTTTTAGTAATCTGTGATTCAAAATGGTTAAAGCTTCTATTCAAATTTTCAGTTTAATTTAGTTTGGTTTAGTCCAGTTATGATTGGTTTGGTTTAGTTTGCGTTGGTTTAGTCTAATTTTGATTAGTTTTAGTTTAGGTTGGTTTAGTTTAGTTTTGATTAATTAGGTTCAGTTTAGTTTGATTCACTTTGGTTTAGTTTAGTGTTGTTGTTTAGGTTGGTTTGATTGAGTTCAGATTAAACATGTTTAGTGTGATTCGCTTAGGTTTGGTTTGGATTAATTTGGTTTGGTTAGTTTGGTTTATTTGGTTTAGTTTGGATTCATTTGGTTTGATTAGTTTTGTTTATTTGGTTTAGTTTGGATTCATTTGGTTTATTTGGTTTAGTTTGGATTCATTTGGTTTAGTTTGGCTTGGTTTAGTTTTGATTACGGCAATTAGGTTGAGTTTTGTTTGATTACCTTTGGTTTAGATTAGTCTAGTTTAGATTAATTTGGTTTGGTTTAGTTTACTCTAGTTTAGTTTGGTTTGGTTTATTTTGGATTCTTTTGGTTTAGTTTGGCTTAGTTTAGTTTTGATTACAGTAATTAGATTGAGTTTAGTTTGACTACCTTTGGTTTAGATTAGTCTAGTTCGGATTCATTTGGTTTGGTTTAGTTTTGATAACGGAAATTTAAGTAAGTTTAGTTTGATTAACTTTGGTTTGCTTTACTCTAGTTTAGTTTGGATTCATTTGGTTTGGTTTAGTTTTGATAACGGAAATTTAAGTAAGTTTAGTTTGATTAACTTTGGTTTGGTTTACTCTAGTTTAGTTTGGATTCATTTGGTTTGGTTTAGTTTGGTTTATTTAGTTTACTCTAGTTTAATTTGGTTTATTGGAGGTCTGTCTGGACTCTTGGTGGAAATGTGACGGCTTACTGAATAAAACTGGTTTCCTGAGCGGCCTGAACCTGTAGGTTTCTGATGTGTGACCCGGTTGGTGGGAGGTTTAACCACTAAACTGGTTAACATGCTCGGATGTGGACAGCCTCAGGTCACATGAACAAAACCCACAGATTCAGGAACAAAAACCAAACCCAGACAACGGAAGCTGTGATTCTCTGGTCCAACTCTTAAAACGTCGACTTCTACCAACAAAAAGCGGACGGAGACATTCAGATATGTTTCCAGATTCATGATGCACTTTAGTTATCCAGTTTTTTGTGTTTTAATTAACACAAAATGGCTGAATTCTGCTCGTTTAAGCTACAGATCAACGTTTTCTGAGCTGCTTCAACTTCAATTATCCCTTTTTTTGTGTTTTAATGAACACAAAATGGCTGAATTTTGCTCGTTTAAGCTACAAATCAGCGTTTTCTGAGCTGCTTTAACACAAACTGTGCAGCTATTTAAAGGCAAATCGAGGCCTCTGCTACTTATACTTGTTTCTCTCCATGTTTTTTCTAATTGTTGAGAGGATATTGAATGCGTTGGGAGGCTTTTGTGAGATTTGGATTGCAGTCGATTTCACGCGGTTGTAAAACAGGATGTTACGCAACCTCTCAGAGCTCCTGTCTCAGACGCCCGGGTTCAAATATTGACTTAATGAAGCCTAAAGACAGAGTTTTATTTGGGTTTTTGGAGCTTTTCTCTGTTGGTTTCTGTCCTCTTTTCCAGTTTGTAATTTTTTTATTGAAACTTCGGCTTTCCAAGTGATTTAGAAGTTGATTTTTTGGTTCTTTCTGTACCTGTAATGAAGAGCCTGTTCTCAGTTTAGGCCTTCAGCCAAAAGCCTTTTCTGTAGACAGACACTCCTCCACTAACTGGAAATACCAGGTTGTGAGTCAGTACAGACACTAAAGTCTGTCTTCTTAAGGAGAGGATCCTCCTAGTTTGTCGTGGATATCATTTGTTTTACTTGTATTTTGTATATTTGGCACTTTTTGACTTTATTACCACATATAAGGATAATTTATCCATGTAAAATTAAGAAAATATGCATTAATGCTCACAAAATCTGACTTAATTAAATCTTCTCAGTATTGTTTTTGCTTTATTAATGTCTGTTGTGCAATTATATAACAATATATAACATTTGTGCTTTTCTAAAGTTAAAGTTTGTCTTTTTATCAATCAAAAATATAGAAAACCTTTTCTTTTTTTGTGTTTAGCATCTAGAATAATATCACATATTCCTCTCTGCTCAACCAGAAGCTGTCAATTAACCATAACCCACAACTTTTAGCCTTTAATTGTCTTATTTTAGTTTATTAACCAGTCAGATTACAGAGTGAGTGGATGCAATTAGCAACACTGGCCACTAGAGGGCGCTTTACATTCGTCTTTTAGCCCTTTTAAAGGCTTCTGCTGCCTGTTTGTCGACATTATTTAAACTTTTTTGGGCGTGTAACAGTTTTTTTTAGCAGCTTTGTTGTTTTAAGGATTCCTTTGTGTTTGTTAATGAGTCTAAAGGTCAGCAGTGACGTCACACTGAGCAACTAAAGCAGCGCGATGACGTCAGGGTTTAGTGGAGAAACTGTTCTTTTTTTTTTTTTTTTTTTTAAACTTTGTTTATTGAACATTTTGAACATAAGGCAGACATTGTTGGGACAAATTCAAAGTGTCAATACAATCTCAACGTCACAGTTCTGTCAACCCCCAATCCACCCACAGGCCAAAAAATAAATGAATAAACAAATGAATAAATAGTAAAATTTAAAAAAAAAAAAAAAAAAAAAAAAAATATAATGATAATTTTAAATTAAAAGCATTTAAATTAAAAAAATTAAATTAAAAAAATGTAAAATGATAATTAAATTTTTTTCTAAATAAATAAAAAGTATAAAGAGAAAAACAGATAAAAAAAAAGGGTAGACATGAATGTAAATGTAGATAGATAAGTAGAAATCATGTTAGACATTCAAATATCTTCAGAGTCAAGAAGATTCAAAGAAAAGCCTGAAATAACTTGATGGAGCTTGAGAAAACCTCAATTTCTCTGCTTTCTCTACTCGAATCCGGAGAAACTGTTACTTCTGAATAGTTTCAGGCCTTTAAGAGGCCTTTGCTCTGGGGGAAAGGACATTTCCTCCCTTTGCATTTAAAAAAAGAAGGAATAGAGCAACATATTTACAATATTTAATGTAAAATGAGTAATCGGAGGGGATCGATTGGTGGATTTCTCTGTAAAGTAGGGTTGTCACGATACTAAAATTTTCAACTCGATACCGATACCAGGATATAAAAAAGACCCCAAAGTTTAACTGAATTTTGACTGGTTAGTGTCTTTCATTTCAAACTGACCTGTTACTGATGTTATGTTGGCCCGATACTTTTGAAAATGAGTATCGTATCCAGATTCAAAGTTTTAGTATAAATACTTTTTTAAGTATCGATACTTTTGACAACCCTACTCTGAAGCTTGTTTTAGTCACTCTAAAACTGAATCTATGACCAAAATCTGACTCTGGGACCCAGAATAGGATGTTTTAGTCACTCTAAAACTGAATATCTGACTAAAATCTGACCAAAATCTGAAGGTGGGACCCAGAATAGGATGTTTTAGTCACTCTAAAACTGAATATCTGACCAAAATCTGACGGTGGGACCCAGAATAGGATGTTTTAGTCACTCTAAAACTGAATATCTGACCAAAATCTGACAGTGGGACCCAGAATAGGATGTTTTAGTCACTAAAACTGAATATCTGACTAAAATCTGACTCTGGGACCCAGAATAGGATGTTTTAGTCACTCTAAAACTGAATATCTGACCAAAATCTGACAATGGGACCCAGAATAGGATGTTTTAGTCACTTTAAAACTGAATATCTGACTAAAATCTGACTCTGGGACCCAGAATAGGATGTTTTAGTCACTCTAAAACTGAATATCTGACTAAAATCTGACCAAAATCTGAAGGTGGGACCCAGAATAGGATGTTTTAGTCACTCTAAAACTGAATATCTGACCAAAATCTGACGGTGGAGCCCAGAATAGGATGTTTTAGTCACTTTAAAACTGAATCTATGACCAAAATCTGACAGTGGGACCCAGAATAGGATGTTTTAGTCACTTTAAAACTGAATATCTGACCAAAATCTGACGTTGGGACCCAGAATAGGATGTTTTAGTCACTTTACAACTGAATATCTGACTAAAATCTGACCAAAATCTGACGGTGGGACCCAGAATAGGATGTTTTAGTCACTTTAAAACTGAATATCTGACTAAATTCTGACTCTGGGACCCAGAATAGGTGAATTTCTTGTGTTGGGAAACAGAGAAGAAGCTTTTCTCCTGGTTTTCTTCCTCTCTGGGATTGCGACACAGGCTCTGGATTCAACAGGTTGAACCTGTATCGTTAAGGAGAGTTAGCAGATAGCAGACGGCTGATTGGTTGTTGACATTCCTCCGAACCAAAGTATTCAGGCTCCCTCCCACACATTTCTGCCTTCGTGGGGAAACTTTCGGATTCTTTCCGTCGTCCAGCAGGAACCTTTACAGCCAGACACTACGACTCCAAACTTTATCCAATACAGGCCACTCAGTCTCAACCCTAAACCTAAATCCTGAACCCTAAACCTCAACAGTAACCCTTAACAATAACCTTAAACTTTTTACCCTAAACACTAACCATTAAACCTCAACAATAACCCCTAAACATAACCTTAAACCTAAACAGTAACCCTTAAACATGACCCTAAACCTTAAACCTAAAAACTAACCAGTAAACCTAAACAGTAGCCCTTAAACCTAAAACCTAAACAGTAACCCTTAAACATAACCTTAAACCTAAACAGTAACCCTTAAACATAACCCTAAACCTTTAAGACTAAACACTAACCAATAAACCTAAATA